TCATCCATACACGGCTAAGTCTATAGCAAAATTGTTTGTCGAATATGTGATGAAATTGCATGGGGTGCCGCGGTCAATTGTGTCCGATCGAGATCAGATATTTATGAGTAGTTTTTGGTCGGAGTTCTTTAAACTGCAGGGAACCGAGATAAGCATGAGCTCGGCTTATCATCCACAAACCGACGGACAGACAGATGTGACCAATCGCACACTTGAGCAGTACCTTAGGTGCTATGTGCATCAGTTTCCAAAGCGGTGGGAGAATTATTTACCTTGGGCCGAGTATTGGTATAACACCACTTACCATAGCTCGACTAAGGCAACGCCGTTCGAGTTGGTGTACGGGCGTAAACCACCGACGATCGTGAGTTACTCGATGGGGAGCGCCATGAACGACGAGGTCGATCGAGAGTTGGTCGAGCGCGACTTGATGTTGCGCGAGCTAAAGCTGACTTTGGAGGGCTCGATCAACAGGATGAAGGCGTACCATGATGGCAAGCGACGTGACGTGGAGTTCGAGCCTGGGGACTGGGTGTACTTGAAGTTGAGGCCATTTCGGCAAAGGACGGCCGCGCAAAGGGCCGCGACCAAGCTCGGAGTTCGATATTACGGGCCTTATAAAATTTTGGCCAAGGTTGGGAAGGTTGCTTATCGACTTGAGTTGCCAGGCGATTCTCATATCCATCCGGTCATACACGTTTCACAACTCAAGCAAAGACTCGGCGAGGCGCATACGGCAACGGATAGACTACCCGCGGTCACGCCGGACGGGCAGGTTTTGGTGCGGCCGAGCCGCGCGATGGAGTACCGACAAGTCAAAAAGGCTGGGAAATATTTTTGGGAGGTACTTGTCGAATGGGAGGACTTGCCGAGCGAGGAAGCAACGTGGCAAAGTTGGGACGAGATGCGCGAGATGTTTCCTGAATTCTTCCTTGAGGACAAGGAAGCACTTGAAGGGGACGGGAATGATGAGAACACGGCAAGGAGATTAAAGAATGCTGCGAGCCGCGCTTATCATGCACGACGGAGGTTAAGACGACGGGCTGCCCAGGCCCAACTCATTAATGGACATGCGCGCGCGGACGGTGACGCGCGCGAGAATCTCGGCGAAGGGTGCAATAGCGCGGGTACGGTCTTCATCAATTGATTATTGATTCCTCTTAATACAAATCCGAACTATTGTTCAACTCTTTGCTCTAGTTTTCTTCCTGAATTCTTTTGCAATTTTATTCGTTAGAAAGGCTGCGAGTGTGCGACTTCCTAACACCTATCGAGCGATTTAATGCGCGGGAGCGGCTTTTCGACGGTCGGGACACACGGTCTTCATCAACCGCCGACGGCGTTGTGCCGTTCCACGACCCATATTCATATTCTCTCGGCAACATTAATCAAACTGAACATGATTAATACTCTACTGAATATATCACATGAAAATGCACGAGAAAAACGAACTTAACAAATAGGGCAAACGAGTACGGCCGTGGTGCGCTACGTGCGCAACCACTTCACCCTTGGCCGTAGCACCGCGAACATGAATAATCCTCCGAACATTTAAGGTAATCTAAACATGACATTGCATATAAAAACTAAACATGCGAGAATGGTTCGGAGAAAATGACTTGAAACATGAAATGACGGTACGGCTACGCATGCACGCCAATAATGAAATTAACTAAGTAAGCATGCTACTCTCGGCCAAACTCCAATAAGACGACTAAATTCACCCGAATACTTAAGTTCAAATAAACATAATTTCGCAAATAAAAGCTAAGTATGCGAGGGTTATTCGGAAAATTCCTTGAAAATAATAACATGATTCGGATAATTCACTTAAAATATATCATGAACGCACGGCTATGGCTTAACACGCATGCATGCAAATAAAATCTATACTAAAATAATCATGCTAAAACTCTCGGTTAAAAGCCGACGGGACTTACCTCTTATAAAACTCAAGAGGTTAAATGACTCGGAACCGTGCTCTCGGCCGTGACTTCCCGTGTGCGTGCGTGTGTTGCGTGTACTCGTGACTTGCGGTAGCTTGCGGTACGCGCGACGGCTGCTGCTGCTCACGGGCGATACTCGCGGCGCGCGTACAAGGTTTGTTCGCGTACGGGTGTTGCTCGCGTATGGCACTCTCGGATGCACGGACGGACTCTCGGGCGGAACTCACGAGCACACTCCCAAAAGTCACAATGCACTCACAATATAACTCGAACACTCTCGGCACTCTCTCGGCACTTAGAGGTGAAAATGGAGTAAAATGCTCCAAAGCCTCCCAAGGCTTGCTTATAAAACCGAAGGCACATGATGGGGAACACATGGTCAAATGCTAGGACAAATGGCAAGCATGCTCACTCTCTTTGTCTCATCCTCATGTGAATGGCCAACAAAAGAACAAGAAGGCTCGGTCCACCACCAACACATGGACAATGCACGGTCTCTTAGGACGAAAGGGAAAAAAATGTACTACATCCAACACACACATGCACAACAAAACAAACATGAGGGGCACGGACACACACTCACAAAATGCCAAGGAGATGCACGGTCTTAGAGGACAATGTTGGGCACGGATTCTCTTGGACACTTGCTAGCAAAATGACAAGGGCTATGCACGGACTTCATGGCAATTGTTGGGCGCGGATGCTCGAACAAACGTACGAACACATGGAGCACACGGCAACAACACATGCACGGCAAAGCACAATAAAAATGGACCGAGTACACCAACAAATAACATGACATGAACGCACGGTTGAACACTTGATGCACGACAATTAGCTAAGCTCGGATTAATTAATACTTAATCCCTCAATTATGTTTAATTATTCAATTAAACACAATGCTTAATTACCGAAATTATTCCGAACGTAAACGGTACGTCGAAAATATTTTCCGGTAATTTCGACTGAAATAACTGAAAATAATTAATTTCGAAAAATAATATCGGAACTAAAATATTATTATACTGATAAAAAAAATCGGGATATTACACGACAAGCCTACAACTCCGGTAAACAGGTCTACACTACCGATTTGAGGGATGTTCTCAACAATCGGAACTGTCCCATAACCTTTAATATGGAGGATGCGAATCACTTCGCACACCCTCATTCCGACGCGCTTGTTATCACCGTCCCAATATGCGAAATCCCAGTTCATCGCGTCATGGTGGATACAGGGGCCTATTCGAGTATTTTGATGTTGAAAGCTTTTGACAAAATGGGTCTTGATCCCGCCGAAATCCGACCTTGCAATGATCAAATACAAGGGTTCAACGGCAGTATGTCAAAGCCTATCGGCGAGATCACTTTACCTGTCAGATTCGGCACTTCGGAGAATGTCACCAAACTCGTCATGGAAACTTTCAAGGTTATGGATATCAATAATGAGTACAATGCCATCATTGGCAGAACAGCATTGTATAAACTTCGAGCCGCAGTTTCGATTTTTCACTATGCTCTGAAGTTCCCGACTACACGAGGAGAAGGGACACACTTCGGAGATCAAAGAGAAGCTCGAGAACTTGTTACGTTTATCCCCTCCAATGGAATCCACTAAACTTCAATGGGTAGTAATGAAACCTCCCCACAGCAACACGCTTCAGACGACGCGGTGTCCGAAGAACCAAACAACCACGTCGGCGATCCTTCCACCTCGGATCCTTTAACCGAGGACCGAGGTCGCCGGCCTGGGAAGGAGCCACTACTTGAAGAAGACGAGTTGGACCCCAGAGCCTTGTTCAAAGAAAAAAGCCGAAGTGATCGAGCCGAACCTGGAGAAGACGTAGAATTGATCTATATCGATGAACCAGTGTTCCACAAATCATTGCGTATTGGAAGTCATCTTCAAGAACCACTTCGGTCAGAACTTATCTCGTTTCTCAAACACAATTCTGATGTTTTCGCTTGGAAACACGAGGATATGAAGGGCATCGACCCCGGTGTCGCTAGCCACAAGTTGAACCTCGATCGAACCATCCGGCCTGTTGTGCAAAAGAGGAGGAAACTGGGGCCGGATCGTCAGAAGGCGTTGGAAGAAGAAGTCAAAAAACTCATCGACAACAAATTCGTCAAGGAAGCCAAATACCCGACATGGGTCTCAAATCCTGTTCTTGTTAAAAAGAGCAATGGACTATGGAGATTGTGTATCGATTTCTCTGACCTAAACAAGGCGTGCCCGAAGGATAGTTATCCGCTCCCACATATAGATTATATGGTCGATGCAACGTCGGGACATGAGTTGATGAGTTTCATGGATGCTTACTCGGGCTATAATCAGATTCCTATGGACCCTGAAGATTCTGAACATACCTCATTCTATTCGGCCCGAGGCTTGTATTGTTATACTATGATGCCGTTTGGATTAAAGAACGCCGGAGCCACATATCAACGCCTCGTCAACAAAATGTTCGCTACACTGATCGGTCACACTATGGAAGTTTACGTTGACGACATGCTCATCAATTCGGTGCACGCCTCAGATCATATAACACATCTTCAAGACATGTTTGCCCTCCTCCGATCTCATTCCATGGTCTTAAACCCTAAGAAATGTACTTTTAGAGTTGGATCTGGAAAGTTTTTAGGCTATATGGTTAGCCAGCGCGGAATTGAAGCCAATCCGGCCAAAATAAAGGCCATTCAAGATCTAACTCCCCCGACCTCGGTTAAGGGCGTTCAGGCCCTAACCGGCCGACTTGCCGCACTCAATCAGTTCATCTCCAAGTCTATAGATCGTTGCAGACCCTTTTTTGAAGCAATTAAGAAAGGAAAACGTTTTGAATGGACCGAGGAATGCCAGAAAGCTCTCGTTAGCATCAAGGAGACGCTAGTCTCTCCCCCGACCTTGCAAAAGCCGAAACCCGAGGAAATGTTGTTCTTATACCTCGGAGTTAGTGATTCTGCCA